TTTTTTTCTTGCAGGCACGGCAAGAGGTATGTGTGTGTGTGTGTTCTTCCTTCGTTGGCATCCCTCTCTCTCTCTCTGTGTGTGTGTGTGTGTGTGTGTATGATGTACGTGGTCAGGTGTGATGTGGTTCTCCTGCCTACTGTCTCTGCCACGGCCTCTGCCTGATTGTGTATACAGTGAGAGGAGGGAGATCGTTTTATGTGTTCATTTTATTTCCACCTGCATTGGGGCGCCTGCGTGTGTGAGAAGAAAAACAACAGAAGGAGAGGAAGTTTATTTCAATTTTTGATCCACACTCCACGCCGCCTCTGGGCTAGAAGAAAAAGAGAGAGAAAATAGGAGCGAAATCGCACGCATTTCATCACCCACAGGTAGGGCATACACTAAGGCGGCTGACAGACACGCACAGAAAGAAAGAAAGAAAGAAAGAGCTAGACGGAAAGCCGCTAGGGTGTACTGCTTGTAGTTGGACGACGACGAGGCAGACGCACATGCGAGAGAGACAGCACACACCCCTACAGCAAAGAGCCGCACGTTTCCGCCATTTATGTGGTTCTCATGTTCCGTTCATGCTGCTACTGATGCTGCTGCTCGTGCCGTGTGTTCAGGCGGGGGACACGGTGCCGGTAGGGAACGACCCGCAACGGAGTCACCGCGCGGAACCGAGGCAGGAGGAACTTCCGGTGGGCCTTATTCGCAGTCCGCTGCTGCACGAGCACTCCTTTGGTGCCCCCATCGTTACGGACTGGTGGCATGAGGGGGTGCCACACTTTATGATTGGCGGCTCGGCGGTGGCGAATGAAAAGTTTATTCGCCTCACCACCAACAGCCCCGGCGATCACGGGTTCGCCTTCAACACGGCCCCCTGCGACCACCGCTCGTGGGAGGCGCGGTTGCGGTTCTCGATTCGCCCGCCGCTGCCGCTTGTGCGGGCACGGAAGCGGCAGCAGCCGCATGACGAAAATGAGGTGTCGTACCAGGGCGGCGAGGGCATGGCGCTGTGGTACCTGGAGCAGCCACTCGGGGACGACCATCAGCACGTGCCGAAGTACAGCAAGCCACTGGACCCGGCCGCCGCCGAGAAAGAAAAACTGCACCGCGACCCCATACGCATCGCGGATCTGCTCTTCAACACCCCAGAAGATGATGAAGATGATGATGATGAAGACGCGGAGGAGGCCAACGCAACGGTGCGGGAGAAGCGCCGTGCGGAGCGGCTGCTGCAGCAGCAGTCGCGCGAAGCGATGTACCGCCATCTCCTGCAGCGGGGCACCTCAACGGACAACAGCAACCTTGAGCCCCGCATTTTTGGGCTAAAGTTCTCGGAGTTTAAGGGTTTCGGGGTTCTCCTCGACTCAGTGGGGCACCGCGAGGAGGCCGACCACCAACGCCACCGCGGCAACAACGACAACACTGGCGCAGCCCCGCACGCGTTGCACGAGCCGCGCGTCACACTTCTGTTTAATCTGCCAGCGAAGGAACGTGGTGGGGCAAAGCCGCCAGTGAACAACTTTAACCCGCAGGAGCCTGACTTCCGCACGTCGGCGGTGCGACTACAGTGTCAGTACGACTTCCGACAGTCTCCAACGGAGCGTGCAGTGCAAATGTCGGCAAAGACGGCGCAGGAGGAGGGTCAGGAGGACACGAAAGAGGCGCTACTGCGTCGCACCCCGGAAGATCCGGTGGAGCTTGTCGTACAGTACCACCGTCGCCGCTTGACCGTCATGCTCACACGCGAGGACATGAGCCGCCGCCGCCTGATCTCCGCGAGCACTGGTGACACGCTGCCGCAAACTTCGCAGAGGGGTGGAACCGCCTACCGCATCGAGAAGACGCACGTCACGACGCTGTGTGGGGAGTTTGACAACGTGGAGCTGCCGCTGAATTATCACTTTGGGGTTTCTGCCAGCACCGGGCCGCAGGTGAAGCGGCATGCAAAAGAGAAAGTGGGGGCGGGCAACCCCTCATTCCCAGACAAGGGGGTAATCAGGACGCTGCTGCACGAGTTCTACGGGGTGGAGGCGACAGATATGCATGTGGACGTGCACGATGTAATTGCGTTTGAGCTTCGTGAGTTGGGCAAAGACGCCAAGGCGATGGGGTACTCCAAGAGCATCCCGATTGAACACTTCGACTACGACTTTGACCGACGCGAGCGCCTGCACTTATCGCGGCAACTCCCCGTTGAGCCGGAGCCAGACGAGTAGCCTCTCTGAGGTGGAAAAGAAGGAGGGAGAGCGCGATGCAGATTTATGTTTATGTGTATGGGCTTTATGTATGACTGTGAACGTACGTCACCAAAACGCGAGAAGTTTTGATAGGTTGAGATGGTAGAGGTGAAGACGATGAATAGTGTAACATTGTGTCATTTTTATTTCTTTTCGTGTTGTTGTGTTTTTTTTTGTTTGTTTGTTTGTTTGTGTTTTTGACGCCCGTCTGCTTTCTTCGCTGCAGAATGATGATGGTGGTAGCGAGGATGCCCGCTGTTTATTATTAGTTGTTCTCGTTGGCGTTGGTGTCTTTGTACTTACGTGGCTTCCCCCTTCGTGGGGCGAGCGCGTCCTCCACGTGAGTATGTGGCACACGTGCACACACTTGGATGTTTTGACGTGGGCGCCTGCAGGGCGTGAAGTGAAGAAGAGGGAGCGGTGACCAGTGCGTCATGCGCCCGCATGCGTGGATGTCAATTTGTCTGTGGGCCCGCTGCTATCTTTCTATCTTTCTTGTTTTATGTGTGGGTGGATGGGTTTGCTTGTCGCTCCTTGCACGGTGGTGCGGCATGTAGTCTTCGCGAGGGAAACGGCTGGGAAGAAAAAGAAGAAAAAACAAAAACAAAATGATGCACGGCGGCGACGACAGCGCGTCAGTGGTTGCCGGTGTCTTTCGAGACCACTGGCGCCCGTTTAACCCCCTCGCAATGGGACCAGTTGCCGAGCCCGGGCTGCAGTTGCGAGCTGCGCTGGCTCCAGCTGGAAAACGTGTTACTGAAGCCGCAGTACATGCCTCCTGCGCTGCAGGACGCTGACGCTGCGGCTGCGGGGGGATGTGCGTGCAAGCATGTGAGTGTGATGGTCTCCGCGGATGGGGGCCCAACGGAGGCGGGACGGGACGGCTCTCCTGTGGAGTGTCACAGGCAGCCTACACCCGCGCAGCTCCAACGTGAGCTGTCGTACCTGCTCCACGTTTTGCAGGCCGCACATGCGGAGACGCGGTGGTGGCAGTCACGCTGCACCGAGCTGCAGGCGGAGTTAAACAACAAAAACTTACAACATACGGAGATCATGGCGGAAGTGCAAGAGCTGCGCGTGGCCTTGGCGCAGGAGCGAATGATGTTGTTGCATCAGCACTCTCAAGAAGGGGCAGAAGCGGAAGGAGGAGAAGGTGGCGGGGAAAAAGATGTTCTTTTGACCTCTGCTCAAGAGACTACCGACGATGTGCGCAGCAGGGAGGTGGGCCGCGGTTTTGCGGCGCGGGCACTTCTCTCCCCGCTACCTGACGCGGCCGTCCCCTCGGCATCTCCATCCCGCTCACGCTCTGCAACGCCCTTACCACGCGAGAGTTGCCTGGAGCGGCTGGCGCGTGAGGCTTTCTTTTTGCTGCCGCCTGCGGCCTCCGACACCAGTGAGAACCACGATGCTGCTGTAGCCACCGCAGTTGTGCCACTGCGCCGTGACCTCTTTACATCCCCGCCCCCCGTGAAATTCCCACGGCCCTCCATAGAGACTCTGCAAGCCGCAAAGCATGCCGTAGCTGCCGCCTCTGCGGTTAATAAGAGAGATAAACACGCCGTCACGGCTGTAGCGCGTGGACGCCACGGCGGTTGTACACAGCACGTGCGCGGCGATGGTGACGGTCATGACGCGGAGGCATTGCACCTCCTGCAGCGCCTGGTGCCCGGGGTCAGCGGCGGCGGCAGGCTCTTCAGCGTCGCTGTGGGTGTGTACGACGGAGTTTACAAACTCGCGAAACGTTGGAGTCGCGCGGAGGACAAGGCACGGCGACACGGCAAACGCCTGCGTGAGTTGGAGACCAAAGCCGCTGCAGTGTCGCGGCTGGAGGAGTCTTTGCAGCGATGCACCCGTCTCAACGGTCTCCTGCACTGCCGCGCAGAAGAGAAGGAGGGCGTGATTTGGCGGCTGCGGGAGCGACTTGTCGTTGTCCGCAACGAGGTGGCGGAGCTCAAACGACGGCTCGCAGAGCCGCAACGACACGACAAGCCTAATGAGGCGGAAGAAACGGAAGAAGGAGAAGCGACGGAGGCGACGGGGATGCAGCAAGTTGGCCCGGCGAGGGAGCGGAACCGTCCTTCACTGCGACCCAGCCGTGACACGGACGACGCTCATCCGTGTTGTCGTCTCTGTTGTTGCTGCAGCGGTGTCAGTCGGGCGTCGCGGATCTTTGGCGTGAAGGCTTCGCGCGGTGCAGTGACGACGTGCCGAAGTGACGACGCCAACGAGAAGGATGGCGATGCCCTGCAGCGGGAGCGGGCCCATGCGGACGCTGCCGCGGCGGAGTTGGCTTGTGTGCGGAAGGAGCTCCAGCGTGCTCGCCGTGAGCTGCGGCAGGGTAAACACCTCCTCGCGCGTCTTGTACGGGAGGGACGCAGTGAACTGCGGAAGCATCACCTCACCGAGGAGGCGGAAGAGGCCTCCACGGCGGTGGTGCGAAGGCGGCAAACACACAGGGCGCGTGACACGTCTGCCGTGGAGTCGCCAGAGCCCCGACCGCCCGGGGTGTTGTTGCCGGCCTCTTCGTCCGTGGCATATCACTCTGGAGACGCGCAGAGGCATGACCCATCCCACAGGGCGGGGTCCGCATCATTTTTAGTATCAACACTCCGCGGTTCCCCGTCGCGGGAGGGGGTGGAGACAGTAACACCTACCATGCTGGGCCAGCGTGACGAGCAAACATTGTGGCACGAGGAATATGAGGAGTGGCAGCTCCCACTCAAAGAGGCGACGCCGCGAACGAAAGGCTGGAGTAGCTGGGCGATGGAACTGGCGGACGACAGCAGCGTCGCTCCATGGGGTGACTGGTCAAACTCGCCACCGTAGAGACGGCCCTGCACACAACTCATGTCCACGGTGCGTCGTCGTTTTTGATTTTGTATTATTATTATTATTATTGTGGCGGATGCTGCTGTGGGAACGCGGTCCCCACTTGCGCCACCCCCATGGGCTGCTGCCGGCACTGTAGCCCACACAGAGATATATATGCGGCTGGGTGTCTGTCCATCTTGCTTTGCTGTGTTGCGTCATGTATTTTTCTCTATATTTATCTCTTGGTTGCCCTTTGTTTTTGTTTTGCTTTTTTGCCGTCTGCGGCGACGTCGCTCGTGCAGAACGGGAGTGAAGGGGACGTGAAGGCGACACTTGTGGGGCTTCCGTGCGGTGATCAGGCGCGCGAGGAGCGAAGTAGCAAGCAAAAGGAAGGAAGGAATAGAAAGAAAACGGCAAGAAGAACAAGCAAAGGTACTGGGGGAAGTCAGCGGGAAGCGATGATGTCGGAGGAAGAACAAGACGAGGAGCTCGCGATGGAGATACCGCCGATTTGGCAATTCGTGCACCCTGAGTACGCCCGCGGCGACGAGGATGAGGAGGATGAAAGCGATCAGGATGACGAGGTTGTCCGAAAAAAAAAGGCGCCCAAGCTGAGCAAGCTGTTGCGCTTCCTCAACGACGTGGAAGATGAGGAGGAGCTGGAACGCGTGCTGCAGGAGCGGGACCCGGTGACACAGCAAACCCTCCTTCAGTGGGCAACGCGGCAGCAGCACTTCACGCTAGCGGAGTATCTTGTGAAGCGGGGGAAGCGTCTGGCCTTCGGCTTCTCGCAGGAGTCCACGGAAATGGCCGTGTACACCATGTGGGAGGAGATGCGGTCGGAGCTGCCTACCCCCGCCGAGCTGCAGGCACGACAGCAGGAGCGAGACAAGAAGCGGGCAGAACGGCTTGCCGCCAAGCAGAAACAGGAGCAAGAAGGCGCTGACGGCAACGATGAGGAGGAAGAAGAGGAGGACAATGAGGAGGAGGAAGAAGAAGACGAGGAGAATGAGCCGTTGCCGGAGGAACTCGTATACGAGGCCCTCTCAGAGTACCATGATGAGTGGGGGGACCGTGGTGTGGGTGTTGTGAAGCAGATTGGTGAGCTCGGGGTGTACGTTGGGGCGAAACTGCGGGATGGGACCAAGCAGGGCCTTGGGCAGTCGCTCTTTCCAAACGGGGACGCATACACGGGCGAGTACGAAAACAACCAACGCCACGGCATTGGTCTTTACTGGTGGGCCACGCAGGGTGTCATGTACGTGGGACAGTGGTACCGCAGCGTGAGGCACGGGTATGGCCGCATAGTATACCCTGACGGCTCCCGCTACCTGGGCGGCTGGTCACGTGACAGGAGGCACGGCAATGGTCACTACTTGTACGCCGACGGCAGCAGCTACGACGGGGCCTGGGAGCATAATAAGAAAAACGGCTACGGCGTCTACCGCTTCACCGACGGTTCCTCCTTTCACGGCAGCTTTGTGGACAACGAGTTTGTCGCCGGTGAGTGGCGTCTGGCGTCCGGTGTCACGCGGTATATCGGCAACTTTTCAAAGGATGTACCTGTTGGTGCCGGCGTCTTTGTGCATCGCCTTGGGCCCAACTCACACGACGCCTTTCTGCAGGAGGGCACGTACATTAAAGGGGAGTGGCACCCGGGTGTTTTGCATGGCACAACTCGTGTTCCACCGCGCCTTGAGATCTTTGCGCCGCAGCAGGAGGAGCCGACGCGGGTGCCCGTCACCTTTGCACCGGAATGCAACGGCGGAACGATGATGGACCTCGTCAAGGCGGTGAACTTTCCACCCGTGCGGCGCTGGATCAAATCGCTTCCCTCCGTGCGTGACGACCCCATGTTCGGCGTGGTGGTGATATCGATTGCGGTTTGCTCCGTCAAGTACGACCCGCAGGACGTGAACCTCGTCGTGGAGGTGCGTCTGAGCCCCGTGCTGCACGACGCTGTGGGCAAACGGTTGCGCCTCTCCTCCACCGGCGATGAGACGATTACCCTGAAGGAGCGCGCCACGCGGCTGATTCTCATTGTGGAGCGGCCGGGCGCCAACGATGTGGAGCGCCAGCCGATGGTTGTGTTGGAGCGCTCCGTGCAACTGACGTGTGCGGGGGAAAATCACATGCAGCACCGCCTGCCTACTGTGCAGGTGTCGCTGGAGGGCGAGATTGAGGGGGCCTTCGCCCGCGCCATTCAGCCGGCGCTGCGAGTGACGCTGAACCGCCAGACGACGACGAAGCAGCTGCTGCGTCCCATGCACAGCAACCCCATGCTGGGCAACGCCGCGGAGGAAGTGATCATGTACGTCCAGGAATGGCACCCCGATGCACACGCAAAGCTGCAGGAGAAGCTCGAGGTGGCGTCACGGGTGTCACCACCACCGCCGGAAGCACCAACCAGGAGGACACGCGGCAAACCAAAAGTGGAGGCAGAGGCGGCAGCGGCTCCGGAGACAACACAGGCGGCAGCGGCAGCGGCAGAGGCTCCGGAGACAACACAGGCGGCGGAGGCAGAGGCAGAGGCTCCGGAGACAACAGAGGCGGCGGAGGCAGCGGCAGAGGCTCCGGAGACAACACAGGCGGCAGCGGCAGCGGCAGAGGCTCCGGAGACAAC